ACGCATAGATCGTGTGTGTCATCAGGTGTCAAATAGCGATGACACGGATGCACACATCTTCTAAACGCTTTCTAGTGCTCGCCATAACGACAGGAATAGAGATCGCTCTTACCACGGAAATGCACACTTCAAACAAAACAGTCAGTGAAGACGAAGAAGAGGATGATGTGTGCTCCCGGTATATAGTATAAATGTGTGCCTATTTATACTATAGTCGCACCAGTAGTGACGTCATGGCTGTCGCCGGCCAACGTGTTGTTGGTGTTTTTTCAATGTATGCTTCAGACACGGGTCACGACGAGGCGTTCCCCATATCGACCCCTGGAGGACGCAGTTCGAAGCTCCCTTGAAAGGGAAACTCATTAACTAATTTCACTAGATGTCCAGTTTTGTTGTTCAGTAATCTCCATCATGTAGGCTATCCTTTAATAATAGAATATGGTTGTGGCGAGGGGGGCGTGGTTCAGCGAGGTCTGCATCGGGAGAGAGAGGCAGGAGACGAGCGTTGCGTAAGTAGGTCAAGCGCAGATGATAAACACCTGTGTCTCGTTTCAGTAATTGGTGTGGAGAGACCGCCATATCACACTGGTTAAAAAAAATACCTAGGCATATACCAATGTAAAATTATAAAAAGTATATCTTCTTTCTAAATCACTCCCAAACATAAGATTGTTGTTTAGCATAGTAGGTCATACATATCCCGTAATATTAGAATAGGTACCCCTTCGTTTCAAAATACTTACAGTATAAATGATTTGTAATCTTACAGGTTGTTGCTCCTTTATTCCCTAAACGTCGCATATTATTCCCCTATACCTACACGGAGGAACTGAATAGGTACACTATAATTACAAAAAAGTTATGCTGTAAATTATGTTTACATACGCTGTAAATTGCAGGCTGTAAGCGTTACCGAAAATATATCACTTATAGTATTTCATGGATGTGTCATTTGATAAGTGTGGCAAAATGTACCCAAAGCAACATATTTTGCAGAAATGTGAGTCACATATTTCCAGTGAGCCTGGGTTGAATGCAGTATTCTTGTTTTCCACACTTTTGGACTTGATTCAGCTTTATTCTACTGCTTCTTTCCCTCAATTACAGTTTTTTTTTTTTTTTTTTTGACTGACTTCCTCATTTATCCCTCCTAACTTGCTCTGTTCTGATACATGCTCTTGATCCCTTCATTCTTGTTCATAATTTTCTTCCGTTTTTTTTTTAACCTTCCAGTATCCCTAGCATGCATGCTTAAAGAAGAGAAGTGTGGTGAAAAGAGTAAAAGAGTCGTCCCCCCCCAATAAAATAAATAAGTGAGGCATTCAGATCCATAAAACAGAGCAGAACAAGCACAAGCACTTTGAAAACAATTAATCTTTATTAGTACATCTAAAATGTAACAATTTGTGTAGCAGAAACATATCGTAGAAGACCATTTCAGATGTGGCAAATGAAATAACTTTTAAAACATTGAATGTCTACAGCAACCTCTTTCATTTTAATTCTAAATTTCATATTATAAGTGCACGATTCAAAGAAGCAAACTAAATAATGAAAACAATATATAATTAACATATATTTAAAAACAAAGAAAAAATATGCTCTACATTCTATGCAGAAATACCAAAAGAACAGAGGTAATATATCTAGCAAGATTGCATCGATTTCCACATTAAGGTCCACAGCAAAGGTTTGGTATGATTATAATGGTCATAACACTTGAGTTAAAGCTCAGCATTCACATTGTGGCCTGCAATGTTTAGTGAATAATGCTCTACAGCTCAAAGGTCACTAAACATATGCAATGTGACATTAATACAAAGAACACAGATAATAAATAACATTCTTCTTCATTTTTGTCTCCATTTTCACTTTTGCATTGACTTTGCATTTAAAGTTATTTTTTGATTGTCCCATAACCAGAAAGCATGAAATCTGTGCATAGATGTCAACAAAGAATAAAGCATTAATCAATGACTCTTTAATGTGAATAAAAAATGTTTGGTTGATAAATGCCACATGGAGGTGTGTGAGATCCTCTATGATTACTTATATGACCTTCAAATCAATAATTTAGGAAAATCAAAGGCATTTAGAAGAGTAAACGTGAAATTGTAAACCAAAAAGACATTTCTGAATGTAGGAAGAAACATTTATGGTTTGCCAACTTTGAGTTTGTTAACAGTGATTAAATCCAATAATTGACATTTCAATAAACAAATAAAAGCCGTGTATTTTGCAAAAGCTGGCAAAATTCTTATTTGCATATGAAGATGGTTTAGCAGACGTACTGTGCATAATGTGGCCCCATAAACACAGGCAAAAGTCATTAAACTCTATTGACCAATTTTCTAAACATGCTGTATTGAGCTTTAAAGCTGATGCATGTACTTTTTAATCCTAAAATCAATTCCCAGATTAACCCAGAAATGTCAGCATGAATTAAATGTCACCACATGCCACATTACCCAGCAAGCCAGTTACTTTTTACAACATCTGTGAGTTGGAGGTGAGACTATCTGTTTGCTCAACCAATGGCAGAAGGGGTTCAAGAAACCTTTTTGAAAACTGCCTTTATTTTTGCAGTTGTGTTCGGTGACACTAGTGGAACAAAAATACACACAACTAGGATTTGATGCATTTTTCCTTTTTCATTCTAATGAGACCCAGTCATCTTGGGCGTTTAGTTCTCTTTCTGAGTGTTATATTAATGATCACAGTATGTGCATACTACGATTTATTTGTTCCTCTGATGGGCTTGAAACCCAGTTACACCCTACACACAGGTTTTTCAAGAGCAGCAGCCATTGCCGACAAAATGAGAGATTTTCAGTAATGTAGAAGGAATGTCAGGTAGACCAGCAATCAATTATTGCTCTTTACATCAGACCATAAACAGGAACAAAAACAATCTACTTCTATGTGCTCAACCTGGGCACCCTTGTGAAAAAGAAGCACATTTTAGCATACTTTTTAAAAATAGTACATATTGAAGAAATTATTTAATTTAAAAGAATATACTTGTAAGCCAATTGTACTGTTTTTGGACACTTAATCACATTTTAACTGCAGTTAAATGAAAGGGTATTTGTGTACATTTATATTAAATGTAACAAGCCCGAAATTCAGAGCACTTTTTTGACCCACTTAAGTACACCATTATATGTAATTACTTCTCTTGTCTATGAAATGTGGTTAAAGTTTAATGCTGAATGTACTGAAAAGCATTTATGGTAAAACTATATATCTATACTTTAATTTGGTTTCGATTAAAACTTAATCAATATATTTGTGTATACATGTTTGTAATGTTTAAGTTACAATATAGCACATTTAAAATATATTACCTTGAAATTTAATATCAAATTTCACACTACAGTTTAAATTATAATCAAGTACTTTATATTAAACTAAGACTTTTGATTTGACATTATTACAAAGTGCACTTTTTAAAAGTGTACTAAAATGTATTAAGAAACACTCATGACAGTGTACTCGCTTAAGTGGTATTTTATTTCATTAATATTATATTATCTGCAAGTACTTTTAAAATGCACTTTTTAAGATTTGAAGTACACTAAAAGTGCACATTTAATAGAATTAAACACTTCTTTTTCACAAAGGGCCAGATTCCAGCTCTCCAATATGATCACGCAAAACAGCATATTACTTTTTCATTCAAAATCAGAACTTCTCCCGTGAAGTTTTCTCCATGTTTCTCTCTCTAGCCGTACAGACGTTTGGTTGAGCCGCAAAACTGTTGCGTTCTAAGCTCTTTGTTTTCTTATAAAAGCATGCAAAAGCTGGGCATCTACATACTGTGACTTGAAGTTGAGCCCAGGTTTCTGTCCAGTGTGGGAAAACATGGCGATGGTCAGTTTGGAGGGAACAAACCCTCTCTTGCTTTGGCTTTCTCAGCCTAGCCCTCCCTGGGCAGGAAAGTCTCGACAGTCCATCAGGTCTTCCACAAGTCTACCTCTCAGCACTGATCTTGTATCGCAGGACGAAGTAGGCGATCAGACGGAGCGACACAAAGAAGATGCCTAATACAATGAAGTCCAGGTAGAGCTTTGCATCTTCAACATCCAGCTCCTTCAAAATGGCTTCTGACTTCTGGAAGTGGCATGTCTCATCTTTGTCGCAGTGCAGGTCTTCACGGTCAAGCCCGTAGATGGACAGAATGACTCCTTCAAAACCATATCTGAAAGGATTTAGAAGAAGATATACTGGGATCCTGTTTTGCCTGGAATACTTGATTCTGATTGGTCAAACGCAGCATTGTGTTGCAACTATTGTCAGATATTTCATATTTTAACCACTAAGTACATCTCCTACATGGTTTCTACATAGTTTAGTTTCTTTCATATCATCCTACAGCCTCTTTCTACTTGCAAAATAAAATAATTTAAATTTAGATCAATATCATGATCATTTATCATCATGATAAACCTTTTCTACACTGTACATTATATATTACGTATTTAAAGACAACATATATCACATTTGTAGCATATTTAATTTCCGTAACCAGATGTGTTTTCTAAGCAAAGTAGAATTCTTGTTCAGGAAATAATGTTATATTATCCATCAGAATTTGACTGGATTGTAAAGGAGTTAAACAGCCTTGTGATAAAGGCGTGAACTTAATTGCAGATTATATCGTATTAATAAAATAAAAGGCTACTAAGTCACTTTCATGACTGTTTCTTAACACGTTTAAGCACACATTAAAAAGTACACTTTGTGATCATGTCAAAAGTACATTTGAAATAACTGTATTTTAATATAATTTTGCAATGTTTTTAAGAAGTGAACTTTTTGTGTAGATTGACATATTGAAGAACATGTAAAGTATTTGATTAGTATTTTAACTGGAGTGTTTTTTGTTTGTTTTTTAATATTACTTTTAAAGTTAATACATTTTAAATGTACTAAATTGAAAGTTCATCATTACAAATGTGTAATTATAAATATATTTAAAATACAAGTTTTAATACAGATGACATTTTTGGTTACCATAAATGATTGTCAGTACATTCATCAGTAGACTTTAAATATAATTAAAAGAAAATAGAAGTAATTATGAAATTACATTTATAAAACGGATAGTTCCGGTCCTTGATTCTGATTGGCTGAGCCACGTTCGAAGCTGTTGTAAATTACTCTACAAACATACACCTTTGTTTACGTCTGTCTGTTGCTCGGCAACCACTTTGTTGCAACCACAACTGTTTCTGAGGAACTACATTGTTTGGTGGAAGAATACTATTTTTATTAATATCATTACACTTTATTTGCTCTATTTTATTTTGTGAAACCTTACTACGTATATGGAATAACCATTTTATAAAAGCAATAAGCCCCGTGAAGCCGTGGTTTACAGTGAATTTATAACAGCTAAGGGGGTTTTAGCTCCGCTTCGCGTCGTGCCTAACAACGTCCCTTAGTTGTTATAAATTCACTGTAAACCTCGGCTTCTTGGGGCTTATTGCTTTAATAAAGATGTACTGGAGTCTTAAGTGTGTCAAAAAAAAACCCCATCTTAAACTATACATTTAATACATGGTAAATAACATGTGTTTAAGTATCTGAAAACATTACATTAAGTTTGCACTTAAGTATTTTCTTTTAAAGTAGCCTATATTATTTCTATTATTAAAAGTATCCCCCCTCCCCACAAGGGCACATAACATGCTCTAACATTGCTGGTCAATCATTTTTATTTCCTGTTGTCTTCAGGTATATATAATTCAAGTACAAATAATTTCGGTAATTGCTGTTCCTAATTTCAAATAATCCAGAAGAATGAATTGGGCGCATACAGTATCTATCACAGCTCAATACTGAGTCTGAGCTATAATAAACATTTCCTGAGGTTGCTTTACCTGACATAGGAAATGTATGATATCCATTGGAGGTATTTTGGAATGGTGTCAAAACTGACAAAGAAACCTGAAAACAGCAGCACAGGGATGGCTGTCACAGGACCGACAAATGTTGCTACCTGTCAAAGAAACACAATACTGCATCATTATATCAACATTAGGCAAAACACGCATTTTCTATTAATGGCATCGAATTGTATTGATAATGCGGCAAATTGTTCACATAATATCAAGCATGTGACAGAACAATACGGGATGAGTCATAAACATATTTCTGTCATGACAACTCTCGGAAGGATTGGCATGGTAATGTACATGATAATGTTAATGTATTCGGTCTTGGCGGAATAGATCTGCTACACTTCTGCTGCTGCGGCAGAGCATGTACCGAGACTTGCTGCCAATGCATCCACAACATGCTGCTGTGAGCATGTAAGAAATACTGCTGCTGCACATATAACATACATGAAATAACCCCCATATAGCATACATGAATCACCCCGTAGCAGATCTATACAGGTGGAGCTGGGGAAGGTGGAGGGTTTCTGAAGTGCGCTGCAACACTGCTACAGCAAACAAAAGCCAGGTATTTGAATATTAAGCAGTGAGCTCATTGGCTCCCGATACAGGACAGAACCAATCAGCTGCCATGTGACAATGATGTCACCAGGTCAGATTGAGCTAGACCTATCGGACTGCGCCATCTAGAGTTTCATGCCAGAACTCTGTATTGGGGTATTTACTTGTAATGACGTGGATGCTGCTCCTATCAACAGTCCCAGTGACTGTGCAACCAGTGACGTGAGTGTCCCTAAAGCCAGGAAAAGTATGAAACGAACTGCATCTGAAGGTTGAGATGTCATCCAGTACACTATACTGCAGTAGGCCACTGGGAACACAATCTGTGAGGAAGAAAAGATAGCTCAGATTTATCCTTTTCTGAAAGTATTTTGAAGTATCTGTTTTAGAGAGAAGACTGACAATCCGAATATTCGTCCATAACATTCAATGTGTTGCGAATTTGATTAGTGACCTTGGAATTTATTACTTCATAAGTTGTTTTAATTCTTGAATTTATGATTAATAATAATAATAAACATATTTTTGTAAAATTTTCTTTTTTTCAGGCTGAGAAAAAAAATCAATTTTTCCACCTAATTGGAGAAGTTTTCTGATTGGAGGACATTTTTGATTTCTGACCAAAGGCTGCTTATGTAATGTTGCAGCAGGATTTGTCTAAATTGGGCGAACAGTGATTTGACCTGAAAAGCAAATCTGCTTCGAGCTCCAATAACATGGTTATGCCATAACCATCTTAGTGTTCCCCCTTTTCTGATTTTGTTCTATTTTTAACCTGTTATGTTTCTGTACTCTGAGGAAACCCTGCTGTAAATCTTATTCTTATCCACTTTGTCAATCATCTTGTTGAGCACAACAACCAAGCATGCAACTTTTCAGGAGGAAACCACACGTTTTCTTTTGTTCCATGTTACCTGAGACGGGACGTCCGCCATTGTTTTGGCCAAGTAGTATGCCTTTAGGCTGTACCAGTAATTTAGATGTTCTCTCAGAAAGACGCCCATCTCAAGAGGAACTAGAATAACAATCAGAAAGAACAGATGAGCAAGGATAGCATGTTATTATCAAGTTAGCGAAAGTGTGCATCATAAAGAATATAATGGACATTTGTTCACAAATTTTACAGACTCACAGGTGAGGACGGTGGGCATCAAAGCTGCGAACATGAGGAACAACATTGAGAAGAACAGGAACCCGGAATTGCTAAGGACCTTCTTGGCCTCGTTGCCGATGCCCAGGTATAAAAGACCAATTAGAATTCCAATCCCAAGATGAGACATGATGCGCAAATGTGTCAACACCTAAATTAAGAGAAATCATGTTCAAATCAAACCTACGGTCCTTCTGTTTTCACTTATATTCCCACTTTCATGTGTCAGTCAGCACTAAAGGGCTTCTGAACTGCAGCTTAGTTACTGAATTTGAAAATAATACGAATTTAGGGAGCAAACAGGATGCATTTCTTTTCATTCTAATTTGAATTTGAGTGGAATTTAAATATAATGACAATCTGCTGTAAAATGCTGTATGTGCTAGTGTGTACTTTCTAATATGTAAGTTCAGTTGACGTTTCAATATACCATAATCATTTATTTAAAAAAAATAATAATAAAATAAATAAATATATATATATATATATAAGTTTTTAATATTCATGCACACAATATGAGGTATTTCCAAAAACACTGGATTATATAAATGTTCCATTTATGCATTTGTATTCCATTTATGCATAATTCATTATATTTAAGAATATTTTTACTCACCATGGTGGAACACTAGACATATGTATATATATACCCAACTGCAGTTTGATTGAGATTAATTGGAATGCAGTGAAAAAACATGATTTTTGAAAATTGTTAAAAACGGCGTTATCTGTTTTTGCAAATGAACTCTTCATATATTTATATATTTATATATCCATCCATCTATCTATCTATCTATCTATATATATATATATATATAATATCTTTGAACAAATCCATTTAAATCCATGACCTCACTACTAATATTAAAAGTAATTATGATCATTATATTACTATATGATAAGCTTAAGGTCTGTTTTTGTTGCATAACGTCTGATGATCTTTATGGCATATTGGGCTTTGCTGTGTGTGTTACTAAACTTCCCCACAAGGTGGCAGTGCTGCTTACCGAATCTCTCATGATGCTGAGAAAAGTTCTCTTGAAAAGGATGCAAAACTGCGTCAGGCAGCTGGCAGAAAAACTATGGCAACCCTCTGAAGATGAAGAGTCCTAAAGAAAACAGGTTCAATTACATTTATTGACTGTCAGAAAAAAAGAACACCTTTGTACCTTCTTTACCCCACATTAGTACCTCAGAGTAGTAATATGTATTCATAAGGTAGTAAGTAATATGTAATCTTTTGGTACTTTTATGAAATGTTTAGGGGTAAAGAAGGTACAAAGGTACTGCCCCAGTGACAAGCTGTTGTATCCATAAAGGTACAATTTTTGCACTTTTTTTCTAAAAAAAAAAGTGTTGCATAGAGATTCTGCAGATCTCATATGACATGTTACATAAAGACTTTATGTATTTCCACATACCTCATCAGAAGGTCTGTGCCACAGGAAGGGATTATGGACCCCATTACCATTCATTTCACTTTTGTAGTCTTTCTCACACTTGCACTCCTGAACGGCCTTCACCAGCCGAGCCGTCTGGTCACCGTATTCACCAGAGGCCACCTCCATTACTGAAGAAATGAATAAAAACACTCTCAGAGTAGCTCAAAAAGACACCTGTACTGAGAATATAGATGTGTATTATTTTCACTCTTTCTATTACTCTCACTATATTATTAATTTATGTATAGATAGCGTACAAAAATAACATTTTGCATTTGTCAGTGGTGAGTGAACTGGTAAAACTTGCAGCACAGTTGTTTTTAAACGCTGATAATAAATAAGCAATGGTTCTTGAGCAGCAAATCAGCATATTAGAATGATTTCTGAAGGATCATGTGACACTGAAGACTGAGTAATGATGCTGAAAATTCAGCTTTGATATCACATTAATAAATTATATTTTTATATGTATTACAATGGAAAACAGTTATTTTAAAATGTAATAAAATTTCACAATATTATACTGTTTTTTTATTGCATTTTCAGTCAAATAAATGCAGCCTTGGTGAACATAAGGTATTTTTTTCAAAAACATTAAAAAATTTTTACTGACTCTAAACTTTTATGAAGTCTTTTATAACTTCACAGACTGCAAATATTCAAGGGAACAACAGTAAATAATACTACTAATAAATTATTTCAGTGATTTCCAATTTGATTTTCTTCAACTTCTGAAAGCAAAACTCCTGCAATTCCTGAAAGTTTTTTTATTATTATTATTATTATTTTTTTTAATTAGCAATTTGTGTGTGTGTGTGTGTGTGTACCTACTTAACCATATTTTGGGGACAAATTTGTATCCAAAAGTGAGCTAAACCTGACACAATCTCCAAAAACCTCTCTTTGGGGACAACCTCATTTGTAAAACTGGTATAAAAATAAAGTAAACAAAGTTTTTTTTAAATTGTAAAAATGCAGAAAGTTTCCTGTAAGGGGTAGGGTTAGGGGTAGGGTTGGTGTAGGGCGATAGAAAATACAGTATGAAAAGTATAAAAACCATTACGCCTATGGAATGTCCCCATTTAGATAGCTAAGTAAACAGTGTGTGTGTGTGTGTGTGTGTGTGTGTTAGTGTGTGTGTTGTGTTAATGTTGGACCGCTGTGTACTGAGAGCATTATTTTCTCACTGAAGTCTGCGGGGTTGTGATAGGTGGGACAGTTGAGTCCCAGTTCTCTGAGATATGGGATTAAGCTCGATACTCTTCCTCTGTAAATACACTGGCCTTGACTGAGGACATACAGCTGGAAGAAAACACCAAGAATGAGCTGTAGGAGACAGCATTTCACATAACAGCATGTATTTAAATATATTCAAGTATAAATGTAAAATCGTGATCACCTTATTGAAGAGTTCAAACACTTTAGCACTGGGCTGGTGAATCGTGCATATGACAGTTCGACCACCCTGAGCAAGAGCCTTCATCAGAGACACAACCTGGAAGCAGGATGAACTGTCCAGCCCACTTCAGAGAGAAAAAAACACAGAGAAAAACAGAGAAAATTATATTATATTATTTGTAGTATATAACAATATTGCATTATTACTATGGTGCTGGTCAAGTGTGTTTATCAGTGGGCCAGACAAGGTTAAAGAGATGATATTAGATTGTAATCTTGACCTCTCTTTATCAAGGCCATATTCATTATCAGAGATGACAGAGACACTGCTGGATAAAGTGGAAGAGTAAGTGTCGATCTTAAAGGACAGGATGAGGCTGTAGCCTTCAAAACACCATAACATCACTGCACATGCTGCACACAAGCTTCTGATAGGATGCTCAGCTAATGTATTCCTTTGAGGCATGAATGTGTCCTATTTAACTCTGTGACATCATATTAACGATGACGGTACTGGTCTTATGCAACCTATAGAAGCTAGCCAAAGCCACATGGCTTTGACTTCCATGAAGGAGAACCTGTTTATCCTTGGATAAGCATGGTAATAGTATAAATGCAATTTACGAAAGGATCATTTTATGCCAAAATGAATTTAGTTTGCCGCTCTCCAGAGAATCAGAGAATCGTTTTTGTTCTTAGCAGGCAATCCCAGAGAGGAATGAAGAGCTTAACAGAGCCCATAGAGACCAGGTCTCAACTGTCCAACAGTATCCCAACTGGGCAAAGCCTGTAAGTGAATATGCAATTAAACTGCATTCACACATTACAAGGACGTAACAGAGAAACATCATGGGCAAGAGATATATTTGGATCAGGAACGTCACTTATAGTCCGCCTCATAGCCATGCATTTCATAATGCCCCACGTGCAAAGTTGTAAATAAACCAAAGATTACGAAAATTCACTAGCAGTTTCTGAGTGAAAACTGTAAATCCTACACCATTTTTCTTAAGTATGGAGGAGGCTCACCTTGTGGGCTCATCAAAGAACATGACGGGTGGGTTGTTGACAAGCTCCAGAGCGATGGCCAAACGCTTCCTCTGACCCCCAGACAGGTTGGATGTGCGTGTTTTGGCACATTCTAACAAACCGAGAGCGGTCAGGATTTCACGAACCTACAACAACAGCACGTATGCATCATTATGCACTGGAATAAGGACAGCACATGCACATAGATATCTACACTACCGTTCAATCCTTTGTGGTTGGTACAATTTTTTTGTATTTTTTTTGAGAAAAATGTCTCTTATGATATTGAAGGCTGCATTTATTGGATCAAAAAACAGAAATATGTAAAAAATGTGAAATATTATTAGTATTTAAAATTACTGTTTTTTAATTCAATGCATTTTCAAATGTAATTTATTCCTGTGATGCGAAGCTGAATTTTACTCCAGTCTTCAGTGTCACAAACATGATCATTGTCAGTGTTGAAAACAGTTGTGCTGTTTAACATTTTTGTGGAAACCATGACAATTCAGAACATAATTTATTTGAAACTGAATTTTGACAATGTACTAGTAGTCCTTATTGTCACTTTAGATCAGTATAATGCATAATGTATTATTTTCTTTAAAAAAAAAAATATTAAAAAAGAACATTCTGACCCCAAATGTTTGAGCGGTGGTGTACTTGTTTACTGTGATTTCAATAATTAGGACATGCAGGTCAAGTAATGTTTAAAGCACCCACGGCTGATCTTTACCAAAAGTCCCAAAGATTAGGCCGTTCATACATAACCAGTTGGGAAACTTCACACGCCTCTCACTTACCATTTCACGTCTGCCTTCATCCTTTTCCTGGAGTTTGAGATTAGCTGATACCTGAGCAGGGAGAGTGAGCGATTTAGATCATGATGAGCATCAGAGGTACAACTAAAGCTAACAGAGGGATTTGCATGAACTCAACAACACAACAACAACTGCAATTACATGAGACATATTCCAGTGAAACTAGCAGTGAGGGCTGATTACATGTTTTCTGTTTGTGTATGTTATATTTACCATGAGGTAATGTGCTTGGTATTAATATGTTTTTCTTGGCTAAATATAACGCTTATACAGAGGCTATATGCAACAAGGGCTGTAAAGTAAATGATTTTAAGCACTTTGGGTGATTTGTACTTTACTACTGAAAGCGAATACTCATACTTTTACACAATAACATTAGCCCCTTTCACACAGTAACACCAGTAAATTACCGTAAAATTACCAGAATGACTTTACCGGTAAATGAAAAAAATGTGCCGTTTACACAGGCAACAGCATTCCGTCTTTTTTCCGGTAAGGCACCATTCACACATCGGTTTCAAATTACCGGTAAATTCTGTGACATCATTAAATGAAAATGACCTCTTAATGGCTGAGCCTCCAGGTGTTGTGTTTGTAAACATGGAGGGGTATATGAGGTCAGTGTTGATGTTGATGTTTTAATTTTTGTGTCAAACGTTCACATTAATCCAGCTGCTTTTGGCCCGGTGACATTGTATTAGATGACTTCAAACCGAACTACACAGCGCGGAGTAAATGAGTCATCTGTCAGAATGTTATGATTGAATTTTTAATTTCAACGGATCTGGATTGGCCCAGAGTAGACGTTTTACACCACTTTGTTCTGAATTCGTACATGCTCATACCGGTAATCTTCATTCTGCGTACACACAGCATCATTCCAGCAATTTACTGGTAACGTTACAACTTCTCATACCGGTAAATTGCCGGAACGAATTTACCGGATTTTTTAAAAAGGGCCTGTTCACGGATGATCTCTTAATGGTAATTTACGGTAATTTTCCAGTAAAGTCTGTATGTGTGAAATGGGCTATTTGCAAGGGAAAAAAGTTTACTTACAATTTTTTTAACCTAAAGGTCCTTGCACACTGAATCCAAAATTTTCGGACTTTAAAAATAAATACGACCTCATGTTGTGTCAATCATGTTTACACATTGCCTCTGAAACTTTCGTCCATCATAAAAAAAATTCGGATCGGGTTCAATTTTCTGTGTTTTTCGCATCCGTAGCAAACATTTTTTTTTTTTGATTTTTTAAGACTGCAAAGACCTATACAGTACCTACCCTTGTGAAAAGAAGTGTGCTTAATTGTATTGACTGATACATTGGGAGCTACTCTAACGATCTCTGTCTGTTTCATGAAGTTTTGTTTTTCCCTGTTCCCATTTTGCCTGTGTTCCTGGTCATTAGTGGTTCCTACCTAATTACGCACCTGTTTCAGTTCTAGCTGATTACTTCAGTCTGTGTATTTAAAGATGGGGTAAGCGATTTTTAAAAAACGCTTTAGAAAACTGATTCGGGCCGACTAGCAAAACAAACTTGTAGCCAATCAGCAGTAAGGGGCGTGTCTACTCACCTTGGTTCTCTTTGTTCGGTGTCTGATCTTATCAGCGTTATACATTACCGCGGGAAGTAGGGGTGCTGAGGGTGCTGCAGCACCCCTGGCGTGTAGCCCAAGAAAAAACGGGGGGGCTGGGGGTGCGGTGTTAAAAATAAATAAATGAACATTTTGTAACAAAAAATAAATAAAACTTTCATTAAAATTAATAGAAAAATAAGCCTAAGCCTACAATGACAATAAGCAACAGTAAAACATGAATTAAGTTGAATCGAATTGATTGTGAAAGTCGTTTCAACTTAAACTGACTTAGGAAGTCGTTTGTTGCCATAACTTTTTGATCATATTATTACCTGTAACATGTCTGTGCCGTACACAAATCAAGAATTAACGACCATTTCTACAGCCATTGCAAAAATACAGCAGAGAAAGATCGAGAGCGTCTATTTACCTCAGAAGCAACCAATCTCTCATTCTCGCATCTGCAGCGCTTATTTTGATCTTTAACGTTAGATCTTTCCTATTCTTGGAACAAAATTAATGCTTAAGGTTGGTTCAGTATTACTCTTAATGAAAACCCACACACAACATCAGCAGTACTACAATGACAACATTAAACATAAAACTTTTATTAACAGAACGAATAAGACATACCCGCGTTGTAACAAATAAATAAAAGGTTTTTGGATTTTCCCCTTACTTCAAACGAATGCTTAGTTTGGCTCATTATTATTATTATTATTATTAATAAAAAAGGCTATACAATAAAACAGCTACAATGACAAATTCACCTAAAATAAACTTCGAACTTATATTAACAATATGAATAAGTGAAATATGTTTTACCCGCATTGTCACACAAATAAATAAACGGTCTTTGGATTTCCCCTTTCATTAAAACGATCGTAGTTTGTGGTTCATTATTAGCCTATTAATTAAAACACATCAGCCATAAAATAGTACAAAGGCAAATTCGCATAGGCCTATATTAAACATCTTACTTTTATTAACCAAATGAATAAGACGGATATAGCCTACTTGCTTTGTAACCCAAATAAATAAGGTATTTTCCCTCTTTTAAAACAAATGCTATAGTTTGTGGTTCATGGTTTTATTTATTTATTTTTTTTTTTACTCTATCGTCGTGTGCTTCATTAGCCACTGTTGTGTGTCACTAATGCAGCTCAGTGATATCATTTCAGCAGACACGCACCATCATGGCTTCCTGTACGGTGAGGTGTGGCAGTAACATGTCGTCCTGCATGATGTAGCAGGACACTTTCCTGAAAGATCGCAGATCTCTGGGCTGCCCATTTATCATGATCTCCCCCTTCATGCCTGTTTCCCTGTGTGAAAAAAGCACATGTTCAGATATACTGTCTTTCGAAACATTATCAAATTTATGACCACTGTTTCCTGATAAATGATCATGATATCCCACACATTTCAAGTAACTTCTGCATTCAATTACATTCAAAACTCTATATCCTTAATGAAAAATACATATACTAAAATGCATTTAAAATACATTTATTTTATGCTAAGTATCCTATAAATAAATTTACATATTTATGTACGGTTACTCTTTATTTTAAGGTGTCCTTGTTACAGTGTAGGTACTGAGTAATAATAATTAACTACATTAAGGTTTGGCTTAGGGCTACTTGCATGTAATTATGCATAATGTATTGTTATTACAATAGCACATACATATAACGTGTAACAAGGACACCTTAAAATAAAGTGTTACCTTATGTCAAGTCACCTTTATTTATATAGCGCTTTTAACAATACAGATTGTGTCAAAGCAACTGTACAGCATTAATTAGGAAAATAGTGTGTCAATAATGCAAAAGGACAATAGTAAACACTAATTTTTCAGTTAAAGGCAGTTAATCATTGAATTCAGCGATGTCATCATCCAGCTCATTTCAGTTTAAATAGTATCT